TGCTAAAGGCACAACCCTGCATCCTGCACGGCTCCATCACTGTTTGTGTTCTTCGCCCTGCGTTTGACTATCTTTGCATGCGTCTCATCCAGGCCTGAGAGCTGCAGTAGGTCAGTTAGAGACTGTGGCGGCGCTTCGAGGGTTCAGTGACTGGATTCATTATTAGCAGCCCTTCAAGCACACTGGGGGCCTTCCATCCATATGGCCCCATCTGAGAGATCATAAATAGATTATCAAGCACAGTCAGGGTGTGCGACACAATATCCACTAGAAGTGAGTGTCAGAGTTCTCTGTGGACCGAGGAGAAGCTTCTTTTTCCTGTGGGAGATCCTCGGCTCTGAGCAGACAGAATCAATAAGGATCCAGTGCAGTCAGATATCAAAGGAGGCACTGGTGTGCTCTAGGTGTGTTTCCTCTGGTAGTGAGATGAAGGTGGAAAGCAGCCCTGATCCTTCTCCACAGGGCGGAGGTTTACGTTTCAGCTAACCAAGAGAAGGAGCTCTCAGTGGCTGAGCGTTAGCCTCCGCGGGCGAGGATGACTGAGTACAGAAAAGCAGTGCTACAGTTAGTATATACCAGTGGGCACGAGGATGGAGAGAGCTCATGGCTCTGGCATCACAGTGACTCTTATCTCTGTTCCAGGATTCGTCCCTCAGAGATTTATTTATTATTTATTGTCATTGCACAGTCGTACAGTGAACCTGGAGACCTGTCCCACGTCGGCACTACGTACAGCAGGACACAACAACTTTAGTACTAAAAAAGTGCATGTTTATTGCACCTTGTTATAAATATTGTTGTTACCCCCAGAAAGGTCCAGGGAGGCATCCACTCAGGTCAGCTGTTTGCACTGATTAGGGCCTCAGCAGCCCCAATCTCCTGCCCGACGGCAGCAGCTTAAACACCCGGTGAAAGAGGAGGCCCGCTGACTCTGTACACGGTCCGACAGGAAGTCTCAGGTGGCAGCAGGAAGTCCAGCAGTTTCTATTAGTCTGCCTGTTAGTGGCGTTTTGAAAACAGAGCTAAGTCAGCGAACAGCAGCCTGGCGTAACGGCCTGTTGTTCCGGTGGGAGATGGCAGCGTTGTAACAACTGACAGCTGATCTGGTAGCTCTGGGTGGGACCTGGAGCGAGTGTGGGCTTGAAATACTGCAGGTTAGAATATCAGTGATGCACTGATGGCAAACATGTTGACCTGATGTTGCTAAAACCATCTAGTCGACACGAGCAAAGGAAACTGTAGATGCAGTCCCACCAGTTACTTCCAGTCAGCTGGTCCCAACTCCGGCCTGTTAAAAGGCGTCTCATGGCCAAGGTGTCACGTATATAACCAAAACCAGTGAGCTCTCAACACCTTCACCAGTTTCTCACTGGTTGGTTACAGAAGAATTTCCAAACGACTGACGGTTGCAGTGAGCATCCAGAGGTGGAAAGACCAGGGTCAGGCTGACCCGGTGTTTGGAGGTCAAAGACACATCAGCCAACATTAAAGGAGGCGGGACATCAGGGGGCGGGGCTCAGATACCTGAGAGGAGGATGAACGGGAAAATGAACCTAGGATGTGTGAATGCAGCTGTTGAAGGATGAACCTGTGGCAGACTGCTGTCGTCATCCAGGTGGAGATGAGCATGACACAGTGATTGTGATCAGAGTGCAGGTGTTGCTGTCATGTTTCAGCTCAGTGTGGGCGTCGTCCACAAACTCCGTCTGATGAGTGATTGGCTCTCACTGACGCTGAGGTGTGGTTGGACAACAAGCTTGTGTTGTGATCAACAGCAGCTTGTGTTGTTGTTGTGTGCGTCTGTCGTTTTGACATCGAGGAAACTGCTTTGAATATGTTGACAAGCGCTTCACGTGTCCTCCGCGGCCGCTCTCAGGCCCCGCCTGGCTCGCTCGTATTGAAAGAGTCGTGCAGCCGGGCTGAAGCGACCTCAGACTGAGGCTGATTATGATCGGGCTCAGCATGAGTCAGTGCTGAGTTTGTGTGCAGAGGCCTCCAG